CGGTTGCCCGACCCGAAGCCTGAATTTTTGCTCGAATACCCAAAAAAATGGCTAGTTTTTTTAATTTTATGCCCGACTCGAACCTGAACCCAATCCAAATAATTTTTTGATCGTTAGCCTGATTTGCGCCCGAATTTTTGAATGTAATGGCTATTTCTGCCCAACCCAACCCGCCGCCCGATTTGTCAGACTCCAACGGCTCTATTTTTTACCGTTGCTCGAGAAACCCGACCCGACCCGCCGGATTTAAGTTACCGTTGGAGCCGAATTTTTGAGGGAATTTTTTTTTTTCAAGCCAAAAAATTCCCTATAAATACCCCCCCTCCCCCAACCATTTTCCTTACCTAAAAACTCTAATTCTCTCTTAATTTCTCTCAATCTCTCTCAAATCTCTCTTAATCTCTCTAAAATCTCTCTCAAACTCTCTTAATCTCTCTCAAAGTGCTCTTGATCTCTCTTATTTTTCATAATGGATTCTTCCGATTATGGTGGTGATATTCCCGTTGATGCCCAATTCAACATTGAAAAATGACAATTTCCTATTAATGTTTTTCAAACGCGGGAATCGTAAACACCAGAAAGAACTGCTGAGAAAACTGTAAATCTGAGCCGTGGTGGACGTACTAGAGGTCGTGGACCTCGTGGTCGTAATGGTGGTGAGCGGGGAGGAGAGGCAAGCGAAAATGTTAGTGCAAGTGTTGCAAGTTCCAAGAAGAAATGCAAGCGCACCTCAACAGTTTGGGAGCACTTCAACGCATTCGAGGAGGTCAAAAATGATGGTAACATTAAATACATAGCTCAATGTAAATATTGTAATGATAAATTATAAGGTAACACTATTCATGGCAAAACACACTTGAGAAGACACTCCGAAAAGTGTCTTCAAAAGTAAGGAGGCAGACCCGATCTCCGCCAAATACAATTATCATTTGACTGCCAAACTGGCAGTCTAAGCACTTAGAAATACGATCCACAAGTCGATCGTATGAAAATGGCACGATTAGTAGCCACATTAGATCAGCCACTTAGTTTTACTGAACAAAGGAATTGGCATCGTTATATTAAAATTGTACATAATCCTAATGCACAATTTTTTTCAAGAACTACTCTTAGGAAAGATGCATTAAAATTATATAAACAAGAAAGGGAAGCATTAATCAACCTTCTACACTCTACTAGTGGTTGGGTTGCGTTAACGGCGGATATTTGGTCCGCCGTTGCCAACAAAGATTATTTAGCTATAACCAGACATTATTTTAAAGGTTTTGATTTAGATAAGAGAATATTAGGTTTTAAATGTGTTCTAGGATCACATACCGCCGATTTAATATATAATACAATTTTATCAGTCATTAATGAATATAGTTTAAGGGATAGAGTAATGGCTATAACATTAGATAATGCTACTGCAAATACTAAAGCAATAGAACTTTTTGAAAATAATTTAAGTTTATTTGGTAATAATGATATATTTCACCAACGTTGTGCATGTCATGTAATTAATTTAATAGTAAAATTCGGTTTAAAATCAATGTTAGGTCATATTAAAAGAATTAGAGATAACATTATATGGATTCAAAGTAGTAATCAAAGAACACAAGATTGGTGTAGGTTTCTACAAGCATGTAATCAAAATCCTAGAGCATTAGCCTTAGATATGCCCGTAAGATAAAACTCCACTTATATAATGCTTGAACAATACATCCCTTATAAAGATGTTATAACAAACTATGTTAGTGCAAAACTAGGACCAGGATTTATAGACTAAACTAATTGGTAAATTACCGAACTTTTGTATAACTTTTTAAGTAGATTTCACGAAGTTACTTTAAAACTTAGTGAAACATATTACCCAACGTCACCATTAGCATTAGGAGAACTTTTAAGAATGGCTATTTTATTTAGTGAATTTAGGACACACGAGATTTTAGGAGTTCCTATCGCTTCTATGGAAAAGAAGTTTAAAAAATATTGGGCTAAATTACCAATGTTGTATGGTTTCGGTGTTATTTTTTATCTTAAATTAGAAAGTGGAACTTATGTGACTTTTTAGATATCGACAGCTCTGACCAATTTTCTATTATAAAGAAAAAAATATTATCTCTCTATAGCTCTTATGAAAGTAGGTTTAGAAACACATCTCGTGTAGAACAACCGCAACAACGAGACGACAATCCACATTCATTCTTGAATGTTTTCGGGTTGAAGAAGAAGAAGAAGATGACAACGACGACTCAAGGTCAAGAAGAATATGGGAGTGGATCTTCATCAAGAGTTGGCGGCAACAATGGCGGCTATAACGAGTTAATGACGTACCTGAGTGAGGGCTTAGTAGTCGACAATAGTGAAATGTTTGATTTGGTTCAGTGGTGGAAGGCACGAGCATTAACTTGGTCGATCCTAACTTGACTGACAGTAGATATTTTTTCGATCCCAGTCTCCAATGTTTCATCCGAACAAGCCTTTAGTACGACCGGCTGAATACTTGAGGAACGTAGAAACGCATTCCAACAGGACATTGTTGAAGCTTTGGTGTGCATTAAGGATTGGGATCGTTCTGACTAACACTTACACGATACAATTTTTCCGGCAAGTCAAGAATGGATCGATGAAGTTAATAGATTAACTTTTAATTTTGAAGACGATCATTTAGCTTCAAATTAAATTCTATTATTGTAATTTGTAAATATTTATTTACTTTGTACAGTGTTATTGTAATCTTGTATAGATTTTGTAAGTTCGTCAAATTTGTAATTCGTCTGAGAATGATTGCACTCATTTTTTCTTACCAAGTTTTTATCTCGATTGAGTTTTTCTTGGTAATGTTTTTAATGAGTCAATCATGAATTACAAATTTAAAAATTAATAAATAAATAAATTATTTATATATTCGTGTTCATTTCAAATTTCAAATTGCAATTTCTTTTATAATTTTTGTATAATTTTTACAATAAATAACTTAAAAATTATTTATATACACAATATATAATTAATAAACAAAATTATATATAATAGTATATAAATATATAAAAAATATTAAAAAAATACTTCAAGCACCTCAGGCATCCATAACTTACCCGAAACCCGTCCAGGGTCTTGCTCGGGTTGGGTCGGACAACCCAAGAATTCAAGCTCAAGCAGGCTCGATTATCGTGTAAAAATTCAAAATTTTTAATAATCACGGACAGCCCGTCCAAAGTTTTAACATTAATCATATTTCAATTTGAATAAAAAACTCAAATCAACGAATTAAACCGGGCCTTAAAAGGATTATTTTAACCCGCATTAGTCTCGCCCATCAAATTAAAAAAAAAAAAAGAAGATTTCTACCAAAAAAATAAAATAAAATAAATAGGATGTAGAATTAATTCCACCAATAACAAGGCAACATGGTCAAACGCGCTAATTTGATAAGTCCACTAGATATTAAATCAGTTTTTGAAGGGATAATTAAATCATTTGACTTGCACAACAAGTTCATTGTAATAATAGGAAAATATACCAGCACCCGAAACTACATTAACATGATAATAGCCAGAAGCCTCGTAAAATCCTAATCAGTTCTATTCTCCGCATATATCCTAAAAAAACAAAAAAAAAACAAAAAAAAACCGAATTATTAAATATTAAAACAGCAAGAGTCGATAAACTACTGATCAATATAAGCTCTAGCAAGAGACATAAAACTCTCCGAAGTGGGTTAATCACCACTGCACCACACAGATAAGTTGGAACTCAATAGGATTAACACTGGCAAGGCAAAATGTATCAACTCGACGAGCGTCCCTGCTATAATTTCACCGGATTAACACTGGCAAGGCAAAATGTATCAACTCGACGAGCGTCCCTGCTATAATTTCACCTCGGGCTCGAGTCCGGAGATCCGTCTCCATAAGAAACCAGACCCCTCCTCCCACCCAAGCTCCCAGATGACGATCTAGACCTCGACCTTGACCTCAACATAGACCTGCTTTTGCCTTTCTGCTTGGGAGATTGGGAAGCCAAAGAGGACCTCGATTCTGATGGGCTCCTACCCCTAGAAAAAGATTTCCGCCTCTCGACCCGTGGAGACCCACGAGATCTAGAAACCTCTACAGGGGATCGGCTGCGACTGCCAATGGGGCTGCGGCTTGGGCTGTGAATGGGGCTGCGGCTTTGAATGGGACTGCGGCTGCGGATGGGACTTCGGCTGCGGCTATAGCGATGGCTGCGGTAGCGTGGGCTAGGGGATGCAGAGGGAGTCCTGCTTCTTCTGCTTCTGTATCTGCCAAAGTTTACACATGATTAACATGATATGCAGCCAAAAAGAAACGTGTACGTAAGACAGGAGCATCACTATGAAAAGCTACCGAAGCTAAGCAGAAAGTTGAAACTTTCTTTTTTTTGGGTATTAGCTATCGTTCTGAAAGGCAGTATAAATTACTTTAAAAAGACAAGGCAGGTAAATTTTGCAGATCACATACCTCAAAGGCGTGCGTCCTCTTGGCGGGCTCCTATAACGCCTTGGGGAGTACCTTCTGTAGCTCGAGTATCTAGGAAAATAAACAACTAACGTAAGATGGTAAATTCGCATTTACCAGGGAAAAGAAGTATAAAGAATCACGTAAACACCCAGACACATGGAATAGGAATTTATAGCTGTTGTTGCAGCTTACCTGTCACGCTCACTTCGGCCACCAAACCGGTAAGACCTAACAGGAGAAGGAGAGGGGGTTCTGTATCTCCGTGCATAAGAGTAACGCTGACTGAAACCTCGCCCCCTTCTAATGCGCTTGGGTGAGCCATCTGGGGAAACACTTCTGGATAAGCTCCTCTCACGATCAGATGGTGGCGACCTCACCCTATGTACTGGACTGGGAGTTCTTGAATAGCTGCGACGACTGTTCCTATTCAATTCCCTTCTTGGACTTCTGCTAATGCTTTGCCTTGGAGGGTCCTTGCTCGAGATCCTGCTCCCACTTCTTCGAGAAAATGTGACAGGACTTGTGCTTCTACCTCTTGGAGCTCTAACCGGACTTCTACTAATTGATTTATGCAACGGTTTTCTTGGACTACGGCTGGGACTTCTTCTTGGGCTCCTGCTTGGGCGGCTTCTTGAACTCCTCATGGGGCTTCTTCTTGGGCTCCTGCTCGGGCTTCTTCTTGAAGTCCTGATGGGGCTCCTTCTCGGACTCCTGCTGGGGCTTCTTGGACTCCTGCTTCTGCCAATGCTTCTCTGAGCCTGCATTCTTACTGGACTAACGCTAATACTTCTACCCCTCCAGCCCCTCTCTGGACTTCTGCTTACACCATTGGCTGGGCTTCTGCTGTCCGCCCTGACAGGACTTCTCGTGATACTCCTGCTTCTTTGAGGGCCAGGAGGACTTCTACTAAGAATGGGACTTCTACTAAGAATGGGACTTCTGCTCATCCTCCTCTTCGGACTCTCACTTGGGCTCTTGCTCAAACTCCTCCTGGGACTAATACTCATACTCTTACTCTTGGTCCTCTTAGGACTCAAGCTTCGGCTCCTGCTCATCAACTTTTAATAAAATACCAAATCTGGAAGAATCACTAAGCATAAAGAATGAGGTGTGACAAAAATTGAAAGTAGACCTAGATTTTCCAAGGTGATCATCAACTATGTCAGGCTGTCTATCTGCAATTCTGTCAGATTTAGAGTCGGCTCGAACTCCGTTGCTTCGCTGCTCCCCGTTCTCCCTGATAGATCTACCATCCTCCTTATCAAGTATGCCTGCTTCCTCGCTCCTTTTATGGTGAGCCGAAGCAACAGTCATCTCTCCATTCAAAGGGGAATTGTCACCAGCTATTGCAGATATCAGCAAGCAAAAAGAGTTAAACGCAGAAAGTAAACATACCTACACAGGAACAGCTAATCAATTAAAAAGAATCAGCTACTAGAATAGCTGCATCAGTTATTTACAATCCACCATAGCATAAAGCCATAAATATGGGAAATTGAAACAAGTGCTTCAGGCAATACCAGCTTTCATTGAAGGTTCCTTTTTATGCTTCTGAACCTTCTCTTTGTCATCAAGACCATCACCTTCAGAAGTGCCTTTGCTTTCATTCTCACTCTCGGTGTATGTGGAACTCTCCGAAGCCCTAAAATAGTAAATATGCCAAATTTTCAGACTTTACACTATAAAGTAAACATCATTAAGTACAAGAATGAATATAGATTTAAACAAATATTTACTAAGGTTTATGATTAAACAAGCTACTTATTAATAATATAATTTTAAAAGTAGAAAAGACAAGAGCCTAAACTAATTTAGGTCGCTTTCATTTAAGAGTCTAATTTATGCATACGAGAACAAAACTGAACTCATCGGGAAGAAAAAAAAATCATATAGAAGAAAGAAGTGTGATTAAGTAACAAAGTTTCATAAGAAAGAATGATAAATTTCGTGCAACAACCTTTTTGATTTCCGCTTAGATCTCTTATCACGACGCCTTCGCTTTCTATCACGCCGCTTATCCCTTCGTTTCCCTCTTTTGTATTTATCTCTTCTCAAAGATTTTTTCCTTCTCTTACGACGGTCGTCGCTTGAAGAACTAGCATAAGATGATGAGGACAAATACGAGTCAGAATCACTATCAGACTCTGATGATTCCAGATCAGAATCTGAAGAGCTCTCTGAATCGGATGAATAGTGTCTTCTTCTCTTTCTCCTTTTATCTCTATATGATTTCTTGTGCTTTCCTTTGCGCCTCGCTTCATGACTATTAGCATCAGAAGAAGCATCTTTTCCACTTCTCAACTTGTTTACTCTCTTTTTGTCTGTGGATATAACAATTAATTAACACTGTACGCATACAACTTCCACAAGCATTAATTTTCTAATGTTCAAAAACTGGGTTCATATAGCAGCTCTATTATTCTTACCCCCATCATATTCACCACAGTTGATGATTTTCACAGTTACAGGTGGACTCGCATGTTCACCCACGTCTTCAATCTTTCTTAACACTTCATGTCCATGGACAAGCTTCCCAAAAACTACATGCTTTCTGTTTTTTTTTTTTTTAAAAAAAGGAAAACACATTTATTACAGAGAAGATCTAGTTAATCAAACATCAATGATTAGGCATTACAATTGAAGTATCAACTTTTATTTAGCTTTACAAAGAAAAGGGAGAAAACTTGCAGCATAGTAGACAAACAGACCTGTCAAGACTATGATTAGCAGCGAAAGTAACAATGAAATGTGAACCTAGAGAGTCACGATCAGCAAGAGGCATGGATAGGAGGCCAGGTTCATCATGCTTCAGTCTAGAAGACTCATCTGAAAAGATGACATTACCTTGTTAACATGATAATTGAAATTCTTAAAGGAACATATAATGGCATCAAAATACATTGAAACGACAATATCTAAATGCATTAATACATTAGAATACGACAAGGTTACGATGCTCAAACAACTATACATACATATTGAACGATACAAAACAAGGTGATAGACACTCCTTGATAATCACAAGATTTTCAAATTTAAAATAAATTCTTTACCTTTTTTTGAATTTGCAAAAAGATTAATTCTTCACTTAATAAAATATGAAAGAGCCAACTCAATGTCATCTCTCATAAAAAAGGCCAGATTAGGAGCATAACGCTCCCAGACAAATTCTACGGACCATAGCAAAAACATTTCAACAACCAGCAAAATGCATTACTTTAATAAACCATAAGAAGCACATTTACCACGAAGCATGCATCTATAATCAGAATTCTATATATTTTGATTATACTCCAAAGAAAACCAGCACAAACTAACATAACGAGCTGCAATCAAAGCCTAAAACACAACATAACATCAATATATGTACAGAAAATGCAAGGATCAGCAGCTCCTTTCTAATTTTCATGAATTTTAACGTCTTCAATCAATAGATTAAACCAAACAATCATGACTAGCTCTGAGATTAAAAAGAGTTCTTTAAAACAAATTTTCAATAGTCAGCATTAAAGAACGCCTTACATTTTTTCCAGCAATCTTTACCACATCGCAGATAACTTTACCTATTTAATATGTACCATCCGAAGATCCAAAAGTTAGAACTTGCAAAAATTCTAAAGGCTGATGATCCTAAACACGTGTGCATACAAGCACCATCAGACGCATGCAAAAATATGAAACATACTAGCTGGGGAACAAATTTAGAAAGGAAAAGAAATTTGCAATCAAAAAGGAAAGGGGATGAAGAAGACAACTTAAAAAGCAGCATTAAGTTCCCCATATATTTCCTATTAATTGGCAACTGGCATGAACTTAGATGACAATTAAATATGAAGCGATCCATCTTTGCTAGTGAAAACAATAAGCTATTTAGATTAATAAACGATGCAAATCAATCAAAGGAGAAAGAAATAACTGCTCTTTGAAATTCACAATAGTTACACACCTGATTCATATATTACCCTGAAAGAAGGATCCCTAAAAAGAATGGAAAGAAGAGAAATATAAAACAGAGAGAGCGAGAGAGGAAGAGGAAAGGGAGAGAGACAGACAGTTATAGCACTCTAACCTGGAAATTTCCCACCGTAGATGCTTTCACCACCAGTACCTATAAGAGTGCAAAAGGAAAAAAAAAATCATAATTGCATATGTATAACCATGCAAGCTGAGACGCAGGAGTGGTAAAATCATAACAATGAGTGAAAGTAGCCAGAACTTTACAACCAGGACATCAAAACTACAATGTTGATGCCAAGAGGGAGCATTACCTAAATAATAACTATCCCAATAGTTTTGCAAACTAATGAAAACCTAGAGTTTCCATCTATATTGAGTCATTGACCTGAACTACATCCAGAATATGAAGAAAGCATGCAAAATAAAGTCAAGGCAAAAACAACACATACCATCTCGTTTGACAAAATCACCACCCTGCAGGGAGGGGAAAAAACAGCTGTCAATGCATTGAATTTAAGGAAAGATATTGATATCAAACTTGGTTGAGCATGGCGAAGCTTATAGAATTTTAGAGGACAACTCAACAAAAATACAACCTTAAAACTACATCACAATAAAAGCAGTCGTGGCCATCAGCCCTGTATCCTACAGCATAAACAAGGTAACTGACTAAAAGACAGACCACTTCTAAAACATGCTCAACCAGAAAAGTAAGCACATAGGCCATAGCAAATCAATCTAAAAAAGAAAATTCTAATTACAACTTACAAGAAGAAAATATACCTGTGCCATAAAACCTTTTATAATACGATGGAAAAAAGACCCTTTGTAATGCAATGGCCTTCCACTTTGAGGACCAATTCCTTTTTCTCCTGAACATAAAATAGAATAACAGTATTAGAAACCTACCAATTGCTTCACTAGTATCATAATCTATCAAACACGAAATGCCAACACCCTGAAAAAGAAAATGGGAGGGAAGGTTCACAATATAATTCAGAAGCAAATAGACACTCACTGCCAGGGGAAAAAATTCCAGAAAAATAATTCATCTTCAATGAAAATGAAACATCGATTATCGAACATTAGCAAGACCAATACAAATAAGACAAAAAAGAATAGAGAGAGCTACACTGTAAGAACAAGAATCCATCTTCTTTTTTTTTACCTGTACATAGTGCCCGAAAGTTTTCTGCTGTCTTGGGAGCAATATCAAAGAAAAGCTGTTGAGTGAAACTATAATCAATTAACTAGAAGGAAACATTGAAATAAAAACTACATAAACAACAAAGAAACTGTTAAATATACTAAATGCGAAAGGAAGTTGTGATAAACATAAACACAATTTGTGAGCTTCAGATTACCTCAAAAACCATCTTCTCAGCAGGATCCCCATCAATAGACACGTCCATAAAAACCATTGAGTTCTTCCTCTTCGCCATGTCTTTTCCAGCGTTCAGACAATAATAACTCAACCAAACATAACAACTAACCTGACAACATAATAAATTGTATACATTAACGTCCCTCCTAACTCCCCATTTGTGTCAAAATTAGGGAACCGATCTTCAACTGAAATTCATGGCGCACACCCAGCAACAACGTACCATTTTGACCCACTCAGTCAGTGTAAGAAGAAGAAAACTTATTCTCATATTCTTAATTCTAGTCAAGAGCCAAACTTTCAAAGAAAAACATTAACTAGTCCATATAAAAAGGAGAAGAAAAATTGCTTGCTTTCTGTCCCAAAGATGATGCATAAATCTTAAAATTCAATCAATTTCGAGCAAGATATTATCAAGGACCCATTACACTGCTTCACAACCAGATGCCATAAGCGCATTAAACTCACAAGAATCGTATATTGCTTAAGAAACCCATATCAATAAACGAAAATTTATTCACCAATCAAATAAGGAATCACCCAGATACTTAAGCAACATTGAAATAACGTATGAGGTACGTAAACTCATATTCATCAACACTGAGATAACAAAATAACAGTCAAAAGAACCAAGTAGGAACCCAAACCCTTAAACCCTAAAACACAAAATACTTGTATCTAAGATGATAACTAAAGCTCGTACAGAAACTGAAAACATTCATAATGGAAATCCCCAGCTATTATAGCCTATAAGGAATCAAAATACACATAATCAACTAATCCTGTTGTGAGAAAAATTGGGAAATAGAACAAAAAAAAAATTGTTCAGCAG